TAGGCTGTGTCTCATTTCACACATTCTAAAGCATCATCGGTGTGATTGAATCCTTCTGTATCTGTAATTTGGGCATATCTAAAGAAGTCAAATCTGCTCAGCTCCAGTGTTCCCAGTGAGCAAAATTGTCCTATTGTGAACCATAATGCAATGAACATATTGATTTCAGATATACTATCATTCCTTTCCATTACATCTTTCTCAGAAACCCTGTAGATATAATACTTTGTACAGTCGAACCTCTCTTAAGAAGCATAATTGGTTTCCAAATCTTATAATACAAAACACCCATTAAGCAAAACTATTTTTTCCATAGGAATTAATGTAAAATAAGATAATTTATTTCATTCCCCCAAAAATACTCAAACAAATTTATAATGATGTAATTTATTGTTTATAATGTATCTATTTTATATATATATATATAAGAAGTTGTCTAAAGACATTTTTTGCATATGTTTCAAAATTTTTTGAAAATGGGACCCAGTATCATTAAATAAACTTTAGTGCACATAGCTACTGCCTTATTTTGATGATGCTTATTAGCTTACAATACAAAAGTTTCCCATATTTCCAGTATCCTCCTTATTTTCCTGGAAAATTGTTCCTTTGCTGAGGCTGTTTTCAACAGCTTCCCCCACAGCTTGATTATCCCAGAACAAAATCTCTTCCATAACTTCTTGTAATACATAATGCAGCTTCAGAAGCTCTTAAAGGATCAGCTGTAGGCTATATTCTTTCAGTAGCTCATCAATGTCATTGCTGTCCACCTCTAACCTTTTAATCTTGGCTAGTTACACAGTCTCAATAATTATAGTCTCCACAAGCACTTGCTCAAACCTCAGAGCTGTGTTAGACAATGCTGTTTAGGGAAAGCTTCTTTTATGCAGAAACATTATTCTGCCATGATTCTCTTGGCAACCTCCTCTCTCAGTTACTCTAAAACAATGCTTGAAGATTGCTTTTATGTAACAGTGGGGGTTGATTATTTGATGTAGAGCATTTTAAAATTTGAAACGATCTGCTGATCCGTGGGCTGTAGTAAAGTAGTGGTATGAGGAAGAAACTAGATCATGATGAATTTAAGTTCATCAAGGAAGTCATCTTGTAGTTCTGTAAGTTATGCAGCAATGTTATCCATAACAAGCAAGGCAGAGAGTGTCAAATTCATCTCATTACTTCATCATTATCTGTTACCTTACTTTTAAAAGAACATAGATACTGTTAAGTATCTTTGTGCTGTAAAGTGTATGAGAAAAATAGCACAAATTAAAAAGTATGGAATTTTCATTCACAAGTAATTGTGTTCACTCTTTAAATTATCAGCACACACACACACACACACACACAAACAAAAAAAAAAAAAAAAAAGGTTTTAATGTGGTATTTACTGTTTAATCCATTTTGGTGTCCCACTCATAAATCGCAATTAATAAGGGTGTAACAGTGGGGGCTTGGTTATTTGAAAACTGAGCCATGAAGACTCTAACTGAATCAAGCCCAAAATGTGTAGCATCTCTATGTGATACGAAAAAAAATCCTCCTTATACCTTTCTTTAAAGAAGTTATGGAAAGTTTGTCATCCAGTCTGACTAGCTTTTGAGGTTGTCTCCTTTTGGGTTGTGGTAATTCTAAATAATAACTAGTCTTCGAGACTCAAACTACTTTTGTGAACTGCTCTTAAGATAGTTAAACTAAAACAAGATGTATCAAAAATTTCATTTACAACTTTTCTTGAGCATATACTTTGGCTTTTTTTTTTTTTACATTGCATATTGTTGTTGTTATGTATCATTCTCTGAGTATTGTTTTAAAGATTTATTAATGTATTTTAAAAGTTGAATAAGTAAAATGTAATTATGACTATTTATTGTTTTTCAAATGTAAAGTATCTCAAATTTTTTTAAAATATAGTAACATTTTATATTATCCAGTCTTATTAAATATACAGTCAGTTCCTGATTGACAAGGGAGTATTAACAACCATTAAAAAAAAAAAAAAGAAAGGAAATAGAAAAAAAAAAAAGTTTTCTGTTGTGAAATGATAAAAAAAAAATTGCTGTCAGAAACCATCATAAAATAAAACTGTCTATGAAAAATATAAAAAAGGAAAATTTATGTGATAGCAAATGACATCATAATCATTTAAAACTTCTTATGTTTATTTTTTCATTGTTTTCTGGCTTTTTTAATATTAATTTATGTAATCAAATGAATTTTCGTCTTCAGATTGAACAGCTTAATATCATTAAAATTCTTAATAGTACTTTTTCTAAGTTAAGTATAATATATATTTTAACTTCCATCATATTAATTGTAGACATCATTTTTGATGTTACTCTAATTAATCAAAGTCATAGATTTCATTTGTAGTGTAAAACTTCACCAATACAGTAAAAAGTGTGATATTTTTATTAAGAAGCATATAATTTGAGCTACTATATCCTAACATGTTTTATTAAATTTTTCCATTAGATTGCAGGAATGTTGCAACATGTGGCAGTGATAGAACATTAAAAGTGATAGATGTAAAGACAGCTACTTTGCTCTTCAATACAGAATCTGACGAAGAGCTGAGGTAAATGTTCCTTAATATTAAATTTTTTATTCTTCAATCAGCATATTATCTGTGTTTTCATTTTGTTTCTTAGTTAAATAAATTATCAAGTGCATCATTGTTCCCTTTCTCAAGATTAAAGATGTATTTGTAAACAACAATTATTTAATATAGTGTGCCCCACAGTACATTCTTATTGATTGTTATATTACTTAGATGTCTTTGCTGGATTGGGAGTGTTGCTGTTGCTGGTTCTTTATGTGGAAATCTATTTGTGTGGGATCTCTTCAAAGCAGAGTTGTTGGATACGCTGCCTGCTCATACAGGTAGAATATTTTACATTCTCATTTAAATCGTTTGTAACTCTCATTTTAGCTGAATTTTATATATATTTTTTGTGTTGTGTAATATTTATTTTCATTCCTTTATAATAGAAAAACATTTTGCTTATATATGAAAATTTTTGAATTAAAAGCATCAGGTTTTATATTCAAAAACATTTATATCTGACAAAACATTTTTTGAAATAGATAAGTAATCTAACTTTGCAAGCATGTTGTAACCTTTCAGATGATGATTTCAGTTTTGAAAAAAAAAAAAAAAAAAAAAATTGTTTTAATTAATTTTTTTAATGCAGGTGCTGTTACTTGCATATCAATATCAGATGATGGTGAAATATTAGTTACCGGTGGAGAAGACTTGCATATGAAAGCATGGCGAATCCAAGATAGCTAAGCATTTTGATGCCATTAAATGAATTGTGAACTCATTTGTATATTTTGCTCCAATAAATCAAATTTTATGTGATAAAGCAGTACTTTGGTATTGTGCTAATTTCCTCTCATACTGTATATTGGAAGTGTATTATGAAAAGTTTGCAGTATTAATTTTGCTGTAAATTTTAATGTATTAATGATAATAGAAGATATGACTTCTGTTTACTATTCCGAAGGCCATAAATGTTTAATTCTGTAGACTTTGATAACATTTGAAATAGGGTGACATATCTTAAATTTAATAGTAATTGTCTTTGTAGCTGTGCTTTTGTTTGTTTTGGTCACATAATTGAGATGAAATTCAGATGAAAGGAGGTAAATTCATTTGGATCTGCACACACTCAGCTTAGTTGCATAAAATCTAGAATATTGTGCCTTTTGCATTTGTGATAAAGATATTATACTGAATACTTTTTGTGTTTTTATTAAAATCATGATGCAAATGGTTTGCACCTATGTCATTAGGTCTGTGAGAGATACTGAAATACTTTTATTGTTTGTATAAGATTTTTTATTTAAAATGCTCTTATTTAATAAAATGTCTTTCATATCTATTATGTAAATAAAGGAATTTAAACTCCTTTTGTATTGATTACATGCTGTATAATATATAATAAATATTAAGTTGCAGATATTAATATATGAAAAAATAATCATATCTGATGGATAAAACCCAGAAAAACTAGCAAACAAACTTAAGAACAAACCTGATCTGTTATAATAAAATGCAGAATATGTATTGCTTTTTGTGTTTAGTTTTTCTTAAACCTGATTTACATTTATTTGAAAATAGCCTTGCTTATAGTTTTCCAGGAAAATTTGTGCAAGTTAATGTGTATTATAATATACACATGACTGGCATAAATTTATGAGCAAACTTCAGCCAGAGTAATTATACAAGTAGTCAGTTGAACTTGTGAAAAGCAGGTATATTATTTTCTTTTGCAGTTACATAATCTATCTAATGAATACATTTTATAGATTGAAATTTACTTTAAAGAAAAGAAACTTAATTTTGAGTATAAAAATTGTGAAATTTATTACTATGCAGTATGAAATTTTGTTTTAATATATTTTCGAACATATGCGCTACATATACATTGCTGGCAATTAAAATTTCAACACCCTGAAGGAAAGCAAATACGAAAAAGATAATCTGTTGTACATAAACAGTATAGCATGAAGATAAAATGATTAAATTTGTAAGCAGTGTAGGGTTTTACAGAGTTGCAAAATTAGTAGAAACAGCTGCACTAGTACTTCCTACAAGAAATGCAGAGTGCATTTATTAAAACTGAATAGAAGATTTGATAGCATTGTCATTTAATCTGGCTCTGCGTCATTAAATCTGGTGTTAGATCTGTACATTCTTCAATGCTAGCATTTCCGAACTGCTAGATACTTAATTGTACTAGATATCTCTCTCCTTATTTATGTCTGTATTTATTATTTGGATATAAACAAACTTTAACATAGGCAAACACTTAAATCTTGAAACTCGCTGTCTCGACAAAATTTGTCAAACATAAAGTAATTTAAGACGAACAATACAAAACGAAATTACACTGCTGGCCATTAAAATTGCAACACCATGAAGGAAAGCAAATACAAAGAAAAGATATTTATTGTACATAAACAACATGACATGAAGATAAAATGATTAAATTTATAATTAAGTATTATTGAGTAGATCCATCGCATTATCGATATTTTTCGGAAAGCATTATCAACATTTAAAAACCATACAATTTAAATAAAAAAAAAAAGATGTCTAAAGTATAACTTGCAATTAAAACAACAATACAAATTTAAAATGCGCAAACTACGTTACATTACTGCTCAGCATAACATACAGCCTTGCTTTGCTCATGTGCACAACGACCTGTATTCGCTCGAAAAACATCAAAGAATTCGAAAAACTTGGTGTCATGTACACATCGATCTATTTTCACTTAAAAAAACATCATATAGAATTGCCCAAACTCAGCATTGCATACTGCCTTGGCTTTGCCCATGTGCAAGTCAATCTATTTTTACTTAGCAAACATTAGAGAATTGCACAAACTCGGCATTCCACAACCTCAGCATTGCGCATTATATCGGTTTTTCCCATGTACACATCAATCAATTCACTTAACAAAAATTAAGAGAATTGCACAAACTCTGCATTGGCTTTGCCTATGTGCACATCGATCTATTTTCACCTAAAAAAGTCAGAGAATTGCACAAATTCGGTATTGCGCATTGCATTGGCTTTACCCGTGTACACATTGATCTCTTTTCACTTAAAAAATATCAGAGAATTGCACAACCTCGGCATTGCGCACTGCATTGGCTTTGCCCATGTTACACATCGATCTATTTTTAAAAAATCAGAGACCTTGCACAAACTCTGCATTGGCTTGCCCACGTACACATCAATGTATTTTCACTTAAAAAAAACATCAGAGAATTGCACAAACTCGGGATCACGCACAACCTCTGCATTGCGCGCTGCATTGGATTTTCCCATGTGCACATCAATCTATTTTCACTTAAAAAAATCGGAGAAATGCACAAACTCTGCATTGTGCACAACCTCGGCATTGTGCACTGGATTTGGCTTATGCCCATGTACACATCGGACCTAATTTTCACTTTAAAAAAATCGTAGAATTCCACAAATTTAGGCATTGCACTCAACCTTGACATTGTGCACTGCATTGGCGCTTTGCCCATGTACAACTCTGGTGACAGGACAACTTCCGGCCTCAGGCTATTGCCAATCGAAATGAAATGCCATCCTGCACTTAATACAATCTACAATGTTTCGAACCCAGAATGCTCCGGTGAAAGTCGAAAAGAGAGGTCATAAAGTGCCATAATAGTTTAAGTTGTTGTAATAAATAAGATTTCAATCACATAATTTAGTAAGTTTTTTATTACTGTTATTTTATTTTCTCATTTAGAACGTGCTGTATAATTAAGTAAGTTTTGAACTTCTATTATTTTCCTTTCTCATTTTGAATGTATTGTGTGTTTTAGGTTCTCATGTTCTTAAGTTCTTATTTCAAGTTTCAAGTGCGTTTATTCGCGACTGAATTACGGAGAAGAAAATATAATATTGTTATGTATTCAACATTCACCATTAGTACATGGGTGAATGTTGAATACATAAACAATATTAGTACATGGTGAATGTAGACATTGACCGGTGTAAATCAGAAATAAGAGTATTTGGAAAATATTCGGACATACACCAAGAGACTATGTGAATGTTGACATTACCAATGAAAGTCGACATTCTCCAGATTTCGGTATTTCACCGTAACATATATATTTTAAAATCGAAGCTAATTTTATTATTCATCAAAGACAAGTATAGACAATAAAAAAAAAAAAAGCACCTTAGTAGGAAAAAAAGTAAGTTTAGCATTACTTACTTCTGCAAGGAAATTTACTTCTTACTGGTTACAAAAACTCACTTTAAACTAACTTTAATGTTTTTATTTATTTCTAAAAAGTAGAAATAAAAGAAAATAAGGAATGGAAATCGCTATTGTTCTCCCATCCAAAGGTTTCTTTGTTTTCCTTTTCTTCAACAGATAATTCTTGAAGTATCCGAGCAAAATCAGTTGGTTGCACATACTTTTTTGCCATGAAAACCGATATAAAATTTACAGAGCTAAATGTATTCAGATTAAAATACAGTAACACCCCGCTTAACGCTGTTTCGGTTTAGCGCTCTTTTATTTCAACTCGGAGTTTCCCAGAAATTGTGCGCAGCGTTAGGTTTCCAAATAACATATCCTAAACAGTGTAGTTGTGTTTCTTGTTTGGTTGCGGTGCTGTACGGACTCATTTTTATCATTTGAAACATTTGTTGACATTATTGTAAGTATAAATTTATATAATACTATAGCGATTAATACAGTGACAAATATTATGATCTTTAGTTTTTATCATGGGTGATAATAAAAAACAAGAAAAGAAAGCAACCAGAAAAAGCATTTCACTGGAAACTAAAATGCAAGTGATTAGAAGATTCGATTCTGGTGAACGTCCAATCTCAAATTAGTGCTGCATTGAATTTGGCAACTTCAACATTAACGACAATTCTTAAGAATAAAGAAAAAATATCATCATCGGCAACTGCAACTACGTCAAGCTCTGCAACTAGAATTACCTGTTCTAGAAATAACATTATACAGGAAATGGATAAACCACTGCCTATATGGATTGACGACGAAATTGAACGCAATATGCCATTAAGCCAATCTATCATTATGCCTTCTTGAAAAAAAGGCAAAAAATTGGAAACACAGAATAGACTGAATGATCTGACTGAGAATATTATTTGTTTTTATAAGTATACAGAGGCTGGTCGCACATTTTTTAGACGAATTTGGTAAGCGGTAATAAAAGATCGTTTTGCTACAAAAGATGTAATTGCAATTGAACTATGTTTTTAAAAGTCAAAATTATCGTTTGTGGCTTGAAAGTTTTGTTTTTATTCAAAATGGCGAATTTAAAAAAGCAGTGGTTCGAAGGCTACATTTACGCTCTTTCCGAAGAGAAATATGCATACTCCGTTATCCAAAAACGATGCGAGAGTCATGGTTTTGTGATATCTAATGCGTCGATAGGTAATATCATCAACAAGAAAGGAAAAAAAGTGAAATCGGAGCTTCAAGTGGGACAAAAATTCCAAACAAATATCCAAGGAAAAAACGGACATCTTCGACTATTGCTAAGATACGTTGTTTAATGCAAAAAGAAAATCCCCCTAGTCAAAGGACAGTTGCAAAATCATTAAAATGCTCGGTGTCCACTGAAAACAAAATGATAAACGTGGATTTAAATCTTAAGAAAGCGAAAAAACGCAATGTGCATCGTCTTCTTCAAAAGCATATCGCTCAACGCAGGACACGCTGCAGAATTCTATATGAGAAACACTTATCCAAAGAAAATGGAAAACATTTGTCAGAATAGATGAAGCATGGGTGTATTTAAATGATTGTAACAAAAAAAGAGCCATTTATTATCATAAAAGAGGAGAAAAAATTTAAGTACATGGTTCAAAGAATCGAAAGAAAGTTTTTCTAAGGGATTCATGATTGTTGCTGGTCTTTCTTATAATGGCAAGTTAAATATAAAAAGAGTGCAAAAAAAAAAAAAAAAAAAAAAAAAAAAAAATCAAGATTAACTGAAAATACTATAAGGAACATATATATCGCCAATTTTTCTGAATGAAGTACCATCGCTTTACCCACAATGCCATCAATCTGTGAGACTCCATCAGGACAAAGCTAGCAGTCATACATCAAAATCCACTGTAAATTTCCTAAAAGAAACGGAACAAAAAACTGGTATCAAGGCCATACCCTTCACTGATATCTCTACTAAATCTCCCGATGTGTCACTTATGGATTTTTGTGCTTTCGGACTTTTTAAAAAACTGCATTATCCAACGTTGTCCCAAAACCCTAACAGAACTCTGGAAAGCTGTTCGGGAGGAATGGGATAGAATATCTCTTCTGCCACTTCAAAAGGCATTATTATCCTGGAAATTGCGGTATCGAAAGATAGTTCAGAATAAGGGATGTCAAATAGAACATTTAAAACACAAGAATATTATGTAATTTAGTTTTGTGAATGCAATATACATCGTCTAAAAAATGTGTGAACAAACTCTGTATTCGTTTATACTGTTTTTATTTTTGTAAGAAGTAAATGTTTGGTTTTATTTTCATTTAAAAA